TGGCAAATATTCGCTCCAAATAGATTCTCCCATAACAATTAATATCACATTGACTTTAGTAGAGCATAATTATATGAATACCGAAAAGATCTTTACTTGACCCCGATTCAACTGCTAATTTCAGTTGGTCAATTTCCTGCGCTGGAAGAACATACTTTGCGGTAAGGTATAGCAGTTCCGTATGATATTTGGCATCTTTGACACATATAGAGTGTTTTATGTGAATGTTGATCCGAATTACCTAGGTGGATGTCAGAATTAAAACTAATCATGCACCCTGGGGATGACAAACATATCAGTTCAATGTTTATTCAAGATTCCAGATGGACTTAATTCGAACTTTAGCTAGAAGATTGGAATCTGGGAAGTCTGAAGCACTTAAAATCTTAATAACATTTGTAATAAAAAGTTCAACTATTCTTATTTCATCAGATAAACAGCGACGTATGATTATCCAGCGCAGGCGTTAATCAATATTTCATGACAATGCCATCACTCGTTACAAGTAAGGCTATAGTGTTGGTATAAAACTTTAGTATAATCGTATAATAATTATGAATATTGTTGCTATTGTTATGATTCTCTTATTAGCGAGAGTCCAAATACATCAATTATTATTACTGGAGATTTTAATCCCTTAAGTAATGGATTTCAGGAAAGAGTCCTTAAAAATCATTGTAAGTTAAAACAAGTAATCAGAACACCAACCAGAGGTAACGCAATTCTAGACTTAATCCTGACCAATGCACATTCGTTTTATGAAACACCAGTATCTCTGGCACCGATTGGCTATTCAGACAACAGCGCTATTATGTGGAAATCGAAAGAACAAGCTCGGGGTAAAAATGAGATAAAAAATATTACAGTGAGACCCATTAAAGAAACGAGGTTGCGCTTGTTTGAAGACTGTATCGGTCTAGAGACGTGGTCAGCGGTTTACGTGGCCTCGTGTATTAACACTAAAGTGAACGCCTTTTTATCGATTACTAATGCAATGATTGATAACTGTTTTCCAACAAAAATTGTCAAGGTCCATAAAGATGACAAACCCTTTATGACTGGGAGGATTAAACAAATGATATCTAACAGAAATAAAATGTACCAACGTGGGAGAATGGAAGAATACAGATCGCTTCGTAATAAAATTACCTCAGAAATTCGGAAGGAGAAGCAGAAATATTACAGTGAAAGAGTCAAACCTGCTCGTTGTTCCAATTCAAAGCAGTGGTGGAAAAATATAAAAAACATTACTGGACAGAGTAAACAGGAATTTATTCTAAATGGCCCACAGTCTGATACCCCACTAAATTCAAAAGACACAGCTAATCTGATGAACGAATATTTTACTAGTCTTACTAGTAATTACTCGGAAGTACATGATAGCTGGTTTAATGTTGGAATGGAAGAACAACTACCGAACATCACCGCAGATAGTGTACCAAATAAGTTAAGTAAACTTAACCCGAATAAAGCAAGCGGTCCGTTCGACCCGAATGTAAAGATAATAAAAACATTCGCAAAATACTTCGCCGAGCCGTTATGTTACATCTTTAACGAATCATTTACTTGCAGAGTATTCCCAGATATTTAGAAAATTTCGAGGGTGTGTGGGATTCCTAAAAGTAAACCCTGCTCTAGGGTAGACCTTTTAAGACCTATTTCATTAACGAGTACATTATCAAAGGTACAAGAATCATACGTTAATGATTGGATTTATGAGGATGTTTATGATAAAATCAGTAGCAGTCAATTTGGCGGTCTGCCTGGAACATCTACAATACACGCGTTGATTTATTTGTTACATAAATGGCATATGGCAATGGAAAGCCCCCAAAGAATTGTTCGTATTACGTTTCTTGATTTTCGAAAAGCATTTGACTTGATCAATCATAATGTGCTGCTAGAAAATTTTATGCAAATCGGCGTTCGTCCAGCTGTGGTTGGTTGGTTTGCATCATATCTTTATAACAGATCACAAGTAACGTCTTTCCATGGAGAACAGTCTGATTGTAAAAGAATCAAGGGAGGCGTTCCACAAGGGAGTAAGTTGGGTCCTATTGCGTTTATAATAAAAATAAACCAATTACCAAAGTCTATTATACCCAATAACCAAGATCAAATATGTAATGCCGTAGAAGACCAGGACGTAGCGATGTTTATGGATGACACAACATTATCGGAAGTAATCAATGTCAGTGACCATTTAGGTGGCATCCCAATCGGTAATACTCAAATGAACGTAGACAAGGTGGTACAGTTTGCAAAGGACGAAGGAATGGAACTAAACTATAAAAAGTGTATGGAGATGATTATTGACTTTAGGAAAAATATAACCTCTATACCCCCAATTTATGTTGGTGGTCATAATGTTTCTCGAACGAAGTCATATAAGTTACTGGGAATATGGTTAGATTGCGATCTTAAATGGAAAACTAATACGGAATATATTACAAAGAAAGCGGCCAAGCGTCTGTATTTATTAAAGATCTTGAAGAGTTATGGTGCCCCCATGGATGATTTGTTAGCATTTTACTGTTCGGTAATTCGTCCTGTTTTAGAATATGGTGCGGAGATTTGGAACGGAGATCTAACCCAAGAGCAGAAAAAGAGCATTGAACGAATTCAAAAACGAGTACTTAGAATAATTTACCCAAACCTAGACTACGACCAAGCAATAACTGAGACAAAATTACAAACTTTGGAAGAACGTAGGGACGAATTATGTGTATCTCTAATTAAAAAAATGCTGGAACCAAACCATAAACTTCATAGCCTCTTACCAAAGAAACTAAAATACATTAGGCAAAAAGAAACAAGAACTAACAGTGAGAAATTATATAATTTCCTCTCTAAAACCGAACGTTTTAAACACAGTCCTTTAATTTACTGTATATACTTATATAATTCTAGATTAGTTGATTAGGATCATCATTTTTAAAATTTTATCAGTTAATGTACAAATAGGTATGCATTAGTAGTTTTTATACATATTGTAAATAGATATAGATTAGTAAAACTTTAATTTTAATGAATGACATGTAAATATATAATATATATATACTTTTTTATACCCAAATTTGTAAACACATTGTAAATTAGCGTAACTACTACTAAATGTGTTAATAAACCATTACCATTACCATAATTAAGAATTAAACAACACGAGATGCAGGTCCGTGTGTCCGCGTTCGCTAATCCGCCAGTCCGCGCCCGTTTTCTCCCTACATCCGACATATACCGTATTACTTGATTGAGCGCCGCCTCCGATTGAGCGCCGCTCCCGAATGAGCGCCGCATCTGAAGCTCTGAAAATTTAAAGAGCGCCGCGGCGCTCAAACGAGATACGGTAGTGGCCTAGATCGATATCAGGAAAATAATGCATCATGGGAGATGACAAACATATCAGTTCCGAATGTTTTTTCAAGATGGATTTAATTTATCGCACCAGTAAAGGTTATTACAGCGCTTAACCTCGGCTCAGCCTCAACTGTTGTTCTCGTTGGACAGGAAAGTATATCGGAATTTAGCATTAAAGTATATCGGGATAGCATGATTTTAGCAGAAAGTATATCGGGATAGCAAAGTATATCGGGATTTAGCATTTGGTATTATTTCTCCCTTCATGAAAATCATGATTTCACTGAATGACTATTGTGTATATGTTAAGATTCATGCGCATTAATACTAAAAACATGCAAGAATTAGCACTATTCATTAGATATATATAAACGACCCAATTAATTTGCACGCAGTGCTTTAACTAGGACAATTATACAAAACGGCAATGATTAGTTCGATTACTGCAGTATGATTGTGCATAAGTTGAGCTCCAACTTTCAAATTTGCTGCTAATTTTGGTCATTTCCTGCGCTGGAAGAACATATTTTATGGTACTGTAAGGTATGTCAGTTGCGTATGTTCTTTTGCATCTGCCTACGTAGGATTCGTCTCGGTTTTCCTCTAAATAACTGGATACATATAAAGTGTTTTATGTGAATGTTGATCCGAATTACCTAGATCGATGTCAGAAAACTAATATGCACCCTGAGAATGACAAACATATCAGTTCAAATGTTTATTCAAGATTCCAGATGGACATAATTCGAACTTTAGCCAGAAGATTGGAATCTGGGAAGTATGAAGCACGTCTTAGGGTAAGAATAACATTTGTAATAAAAAGTTCAAGTATTCTTATTTCATCAGATAAACAGCGACGCATGATTATCCAGCGCAGGCGTTAATCAATATTACATGACAATGTCATCACTCGTTACAAGTAGGCTAGTGTTGGTATAAAACTCCCCATTTGCAGGCTAAAACCCATAGAGAGGCCTGCGGAGGAGGCTAAAAACTTTAGTAATTAAGAATTAAACAACACGAGGTGCAGGCCCGTGTGCATGTCCGCGTCCTCTAATCTGCCAGCCCGCGCCCGCTTTTTATCTACAGCCGACATTATTATAGTGGCCTAGATCGATATCAGAAAAATAATGCACCATGGGTGATGATAAACATATCAGTTCCGAATGTTTTTTCGAGATGGATTTAATTCATCGCACCAGTAAAGGTTATTACAGCACTTAACCTCGGCTCACCTGTTGTTCTCGTTGGACAGGAAGTTGGCCAAGTTGATATTACATTGTAAAGTATATCGGGATTTAGCATTTGGTGTTATTTTTCCTGTTTCTCCCTTTATGAAAATCATGATTTCACTGAATGTGTATATATTAAGATTCATGCGCATTAATACTAAAAACATGCAAGACTAATTTTTTTAGATCTTGTTCGCCGGCTGACGACAAAGTAAATTCTAAAGAAAATGAGAGAGAATCACATGAAAATTAAAGTTCAATTCCCGTTGAACTTCTTGTTCAAAAAATTCCTGTGAGAATAACCCATCGCGTATCAAACTTTCAAAGAAAAACTAATATGCAAAACCTAGACAATTGAGAACACTACAGCATTGTCCTGAACACATACAAATGAAAATCAATCGTTTCCAGTACCTAAATCACTGTTTATTAACATATGTAATCTTAAGAAAACAAAAAATCGAGTACAAGCTTCAGTGGCGTTAGAAGCGGATTTATGCGCTTCAGATATTGACATATGTGTCGTGTCGGAAACCCATTTAAACAATAAAATTCCAGACTCCGTTGTTGCAATGGCATCATATAACCTATACCGTAGAGACAGAAACTATAATGCAGATACACGAAAAAATGGAGGAATTGCAGTATATCTTCGACAGAGCTTGGAAGTAATTCGTGTCATTCGGGAAACAGAATTTGAAATGATTAGTATTATACTTACTCTCCCAACGGGACATAAAATGTTAGTTATTGGAGCATATCACCCTCCAAGATTTAGTTATGATGAAACAGATTTTTTGAATCGAATTGTGGAAGTTGTTGACGATTTTTTAGACATTAACCCAAATGGCTTAGTTCTCTTTGGTGGAGACATCTAAACGTTAGTAAACTTTCCACAATGTCTGGCATGTTGCCTTTGGTTGACTTTCCCACCAGAGGGCAAGCAATTCTTGATAACTGTTTTACAAATAGACCGGAACAATGACAATGTAAAACACGCAAAACTGAGTGAAAAATTGAAATCGAGTTCTATGAACCCTTATTTAGTAAATTGGTACTTAAATTTCTTAAAAGATCGAAGACAGAGAATAGTTTTCCAAGGAACGACATGCAAGTGGAAAGATATTAACAAGGGAGTTATGCAAGGAACTGTAACCGGACCACATTTCTTTAATTTATTTATTAATGATTTAGAGATTAAAAACTGTTCCAACACCCCCCTTGTTAAATTCGCGGATGATTCCTCACTTTTGGTACCGATTTTGAAGAATACCCAAGATTGTAGTTCTAAAGCCATAGATGAATTTAAGGACTGGTCCGAATCAAACTCTTTACCTTTAAATGAGGGTAAATGTAAAGAAATGATTATATTAAAGAAAGGACGATCAGAGGATTGTGTATCACCAATTTATGGTTTTGAACGGCACTCTAGTCTTGAAATACTGGGGCTAACCTTTGAAATGGCAAGCAATGGTGAAAGCAAATAAACGCTTGTTTGTAATTCGAAAGCTGAGGAATGAAGGATATAGTCAAGACGAATTAGATCTTCTTTTTAGGTCACCGGTGGTCCTGTCACAACTTACCTATGGCTTATCAGTAATTGCTGCATCACCACCGGAGTTAACAACTATTCAAAACTTTTTAACTCGTTGTTATAAAAGAAGATACACATCAGAACAAATAGATATTAATATACTGTTAGAGCAGACAGATATAGAAAGCTATTTGAAAAGCTGTGTAAACAAAACAATCATCCGTTAAGAGAAATCTGTCCAAAAATTAAAGAATATACAGTAAAACTTAGAACACAAGAGGCACAGTGGCCAAAGATTTCTACCGAGCGTTTTAAAAATAGTTTCATCAATAGATGTATTTTTAGACTGATATAATTTAGCTTTGCAACTTTAATATAACCTAAAAAATTTTTTAATGTTAAAAACTTGTAATATATTTTAAAATAATTGATTTGTAACACTTGATATGTAATTTATCAATTGATTAATAATAATAATAATAATAATAATAATAATAATAATAATAATAATAATAATAATAATAATAATAATAATAATAATAATAATAATAATTAACACTATTCTTATAGATATAACGACCCAATTAAGCCGAATGTGTAGTAAATTATGTAAATAATAAGATATAACGACCTAATTAAGCCGAATGTGTAAATGTTAAACCATGGCATCATATATAAATACTTCAAACATCATTAATAATTCATAAGCTTATTGGCAAATCATGTCAACCATAATATGTCACGTGCAGTGGCTTTAAACCCGATAAAACACTCCTAATTAGTATTCTTTATATAAAGAATACTAATAAGGCAGTATCTATTGTAGTCGTGTCTTCATTAGTATTTTTTATATAAAGAATATTAATAAGGCAGCATATCTATTGAATTTGCAGTCGTGTTTGAAGCCGTTTAACCAACTCGCAGGTCGTGTTTTATTAGGTCTAAAGCCACTCGCGCTGCGCGCTCATGGCTTTAAACCTAATAAAACACTCCTGCTCGTTTATTAAAACAGTACTTATAGTTATTCATATTATGAGAACTTTCGCACGATGAATTAATTTTTGCAGCGCTTTAATTATGACAATTATACGAAAACGACAATGACTAGTTTGATTACTATAGTATGATTGTGCATAAATTGAGCTCTTTCAAATTGCTCCATTAATTAAACGATATAGAATTGTTGATGAAATAAAACAATATTTCAGGAGAAATTAAACGGGAAGTTCGATAGATTGATGTACATGCAGTACACTCTTTCTCATTCACTTGTTACAAATCTCAAATATAACGATATCCTGTGCTTTTCTTGGTTTAACTGATAAATTCTCAAAGAGTTTGCGAAATCTCTATTAATTCATAACTTTCATGTAAGATTAACCACCTTACAGAACCCATATGGATCTTAAATTAAAACATGCTGTAGACCGAGCACATCTTGCCCATCTCGGTACCAGTTCCTTTTTATCTTGAATACCACAGTATAAATTATTGTGAACCATGCACATGCGCCAGATATCAAAATGGTATTCTCCACAAAGAAAGGGAAATATATGAAGCGGTAATTACTGATACATTTTTTTACTATAACATTTTTACTATCTTACTATAACACGTCAGTTCAATGACAATGTTTATTCAAGATTCAAGATGGACTTAATTCTAACTTAGCCAGAAGCACTTAAAGTCTTAATAACATTTGTAATAAAAAGTTCAACTGTTCTTATTTCATCAGACAAACATATTGGGTTTTAAATTCTCATTTCATCAGATAAACATATTGTTCTATTATTGGGTTGGCGCAGTCGTCAGAGCAAGCGCCTTTGACCTCTGAGATCGTGGGTTCGAGGCAAGGGATTCATGTGAAAAGAGTTTGTCAACGCTCTGTCGAAAGTCGTGGGTTTTCTCCGGGCGTTCCGGTTTCCTCCCACAGGGAAAGTTGACTGGGTGGGTTATCGGATAAACATAGTAGGAAAGTAATATCACAATTGTTGTAAAAATAAATAGTCTAAACGTAATCGGTCGCTGAAAAGCCCCGATGGGGAGTGAGCTGAATAATCATAATTATATATGTTCTAGGAACAGTAGGAAGTTGACCAGCTCAGTTAAATCGGGTCAAGTAAAGACCTTTCATATGCGGTGTTAAAGTCATTGTAATTTGTGGTGTACTAAAAAATAATAAATATTTTCCATTTCCCTTTCCATATATAAATGCACTTTCAAGATGTTTGCTGAATCATTCAAGTTTACACCCTTTAAGGCCTTCAACGATGTCTTAACTGCGATAAGTTTCAAATCAATCAACATGGAAAGTCAATAATTTGTGTGTGTCACTGCAGCTACCAGCATAAATATGCATGGTTTAACTAATAAGTATACGTCATAGGGCAGCAGATCAGGCCCGCTATTAGGATTCTGAGACAACAAAGTCGAGCACCGAAGGTACGAGCCGTCTAGACGGGTCTGGGGGCATCCCCCCAGAAAAGTTTAGATTTCCTGAATCTCAGATTAGCTATTTCCAGCATTTTGAGGAGTGTTCCAACAAGAAATTAACCTTATAAACAGTGACACAATTACTGCAATTTTACAGTCTCCCAAATGTAATCCAGTCTCAAAAGGCAACATGATGTGATGATGCGGTAATAAAGTATTATCTCATTCACCACACTTCAAATTCTACAGGTACTGTATTACATGTATTGGGGTACTTGACATCGACACATTCGTCTTCTCAGTGTCACTTACTGTAAGAGCAAGATATATATAGGGTGGTCCCTTTGGAGTATCTTAGCTTGGAACTGACTAAACTAGAATTTCTTCCTAATTAAAATGACATTTCATGCCTTTTTCCACAACCAAATTATTTCAGCCATGGTTTAGGTTTCTGGCGATGTTTAAATTTCAGTCCCCAATTTCAGTGACGAACCTGCAGATGATGGTCAAATTCCGAAATGTTAACAACTTAACACCATTTTCTCACTTTGATATATAATTGCTGGTTGACCACCTACTACAGGTAGTTCTTAGGGACTTGCACTGGGGAGGGGGGGGGGACAAAATTGCCGACTAGAGGGCCAGTAAGAGAGCTGGGGGGACATGTCCCCCCCAGTCTGTTAAAGAGGCCCTGAGTATGTTAGTGTCACTCCAAGTTGCAAATTGCGGTTACGTTCTGGTAGGCAAGTTATGTACTGTACTACACAATTGTTACAATTTCCATTTATGTTTTTTTGGTGCAAACTACATAATATTTTTAGCTACCAAAAGCTCTACCACCATTACTTAAAAAAACAGAACATTTATTGCGACATGAAAGGCCTAACTCTTTTACTGTCTGGACTGTAGTGTCATAATATTAACAAGCTTTCGTTGGTAGGGATGCAACCACCTGCATGAAAAATATAAGGAGAAGTTCGACGAAGGCCCCAGATAGTACAATGTGCGTCTCATATTACTTAGTAAAGTTTTATACGAACACTTTCTTCTAAAGGGTGATGGCATGGCCATGGTTATGAAATATTGACTGACTCTTGCGTATAGGGCAATCATGCATGTGGCGATGTGTATCTGATAAAATAAGAATAGCTAGACTTATCATAACAAATATTATTATGGCATTAAGTGCTTCAGACGTCCCAGATCCCGATGCTTCAGACTTCCCAGATTCCGATGCTTCAGACTTCCTAGAATCCGATGCTTCAGACTTCCCAGATTCTGGTGCATGTGGCATTCCCGTTGTTGACATTATTGACCTGTACAAAATTTAATCGAATTCGATTGGATAATTCTCGATACGTGATAAAATTTCTTGCACATAAATAGAAGCCGAACTTTCATCCAGCATACAATCCACACAGAATTTCTACAGACAGAAATAAAGGGGAAACATTTTGGACCTCAACCTTAAAATAATGGTAAGTTGTTTTATAATACACTCAAGATTTTAATAGTTATTTTGGATAACATATTCACACTGTCTATAGTTTAGCTGAATACTCTGCAATTAATTCAAGAAATGTTTGGTTGATGAGGGTTTAGACTGTTTCCCGCTAATATTTTAACCTGAATTATTCTGGAAGTAATCGTTAAAAGAATTGCGAAAAATAACCAATTTGTCTACAAAATTAGTACGTATAAATACATTGTCTTTTAAAGCCAAACTAAATAAAGCTAATATATTTAATGTTTATTAATAGGGAATTGTTCTTCAACTGGCAGTGCTCTCGTTTGTACTGTTATTAACGGATATCAACGCTCTCCCGCAAACCACAAGAGTAATCAAACTCGCTTACGCGGTTTCGAAGGCGACTTACCTACCGATCCAAGGATCCAAATACCTCCAGAATGGTAAGATAATAGAAAATACAGGTTTGCCCACGACATCCGTACCTCGATGTCCTTCCAATTACCCAGAAGAACAAGCGGCTTTGTGCTACCAATCTGATGTGTAAAGGCAAGTGACTGGGCATTCGTGAGACCCGTTGGTCCAGTCTGTTGGGGTTGTCCATCGAGCCACCCATCCGAAGAAGCGTCTCTCTGTTATCGTTATTGTCCAAGAGATAAACCTCATAAATCTACCTTCAACTGCATCGGAGATTGTCCAAGTGGTTATCGAAACGACGGTTTGACCTGCTTTCGTGACGCTCACATTTTTAACTCAGACAACAGTGCATGTTCTTGGTATGATAAATGTGGACTTACGTTCAGTAGAGGTTGTTCAAAATGTCCCGCTGGTTACCATAACGACGGATGCGCTTGCAGAAAAGACCCTCATGCTATTTCCCGTCCAAAGTACATTCGTGGCGTTGGTGTTGTTCTCAGAAGTTACGGGCGTGGTGTCGGCAAACTGAAAATGTCTTCTCCGAAGTACGAAACCGCTTATGACACACCGGCGTGTAGTATTGGTAATTGGCAAGCGATAAGTTTTGTGAACAGGAGTAATGCAGTGTTGAAATTTGTCAACGCCAACCAACGCTTAATTGTCTTTGGTTTCGGAAGAATTGATCTTGCCGATAACTTGATAAAATATGTCGATATCCAGCATTCTTCTACAACTGTGAATGGCCGCAACGTTCAACCTCCACAACGGATTCAAAGATTGTTACAACTACATTGCCAACTGGTTTGAACAACAATATCAAGCAGCAATTTCTATACTGGATACAAAATCATTCTTACTGGTCATAGTATTGGAGGTGTTGAAGCAGTCATTGCTGCCGTGTATGCTGCTGAAAAGTTGAATCATGCTCCTGATGCTGTGATAACATACGGTGCTCCACTGACTGGTGATCAAGCTTTTGTTAATTATTACAGAAGCGTCGTTGGTTGTGGACGTACTCAGAGGTTCACTCCAAAAGGTGATATAACTACGTCCGCGGGTATTTCCACGTCTGTCCTGCGACCGAAGTTGATAGTGGTCGTATGTCCCAGGAAATTGATGATCTTTACATTGGCTACCAAAACGGTTTGGCAGCAAAGTATGGAAATTCCAACTCTATCAAAGCTGGATGTGACATTTCTATATGATTTATAGAAAGAAACTGAACTGATTAGACTGAAATTTTGATTAGTATTTTAGAACGATCATAACATTGAATCAAATTGTAGGATACCAAAAGTAGTTATTGAAGTAGAATTGACTCATAAATTCAAAAGCATTTATATAATTAATGAAGTGTGTTTCATGTTTTAACTTTTAAAATACCACTAAATAATGATGTAGCAACATCAAGTGGTATTCTCGTTCTTTACCAGGATAGTTTGGGCTGTAAGTTAATTAACGCTTTTCCAAACTGTCATGTGTTAACCCTGAGTACCTTAAGTATCCGATCAACTCTCGTACGAGACTCGAATGTATTTTGCAAGAAACAGGTAAAATGTCTGCCTTCTAAAATTATATTCGCCAATCGTTTAAGGTGTCTCCCTACAGTTTACTAGAAAATGGAAGATCGCCGATATAGACCCAATTTTTCAACAGTTCCTATATGTTAAAACAGAAAGAAAATCCGATTAGAAAAATAATAACTACAGAGTTTTTCGGGGGGGGAGGAATCCCAATTGCTGTTGCTATAGCAACAATGACGCTTCAAAATGGCCGATATTTTCGTTAAAGTTATTTAACTTGAAAATAACTTCGGTTATTCCCATTTCTTGTTTCATAAAAAGAATTCGTTTTGTATTTTTCAAAATAACTTCGGTTATCCCCATTTTTTGTTTCATAAATTCGTTTTGTATTTTGAATCATTGTGATGATTTTGTAAAATACTCAAATTGTCACTATTTTCACAGCCCCCCTTTTTCCTGTTTGCCATTTATAAGTGCCCCCTTTCACAGTCATTTTTTTTAAAGCCCCCAAGTTTCTCCTCAGCCCCCTCTGTATATAATAAATAATGAGCAGTCCCAACCTCGTTCCCAGGGCTTTCCCCTTTTTGTCATTGGGAACGAGGTTGGAGCAGTCCCTAATCAACCAGCAATTATCAAAGTGCTAAACATGATGAAAAGTCGTCGTCCACTCAATGTTTTGTACTATGCCCAGTACAATTGCAATAAATAGGTGATATGTTACGGTAATATATGAAGCTATTCCTTAGGGAGTGAGTTGATTTTTAATTTACCATTACAAATTTTGAGTCCGCGTTTACAAATTTTTGACTCCGCGTTTTACAAAGTTTTGACTCCGCGTTTTGCAAATTTTTGACTCCACGTTTTACAAATTTTGGACTCCGCGTTTTACAAATCCACTCCGCGTTTTACAAGTCCACTCCACTCCGCGTTTTACAACATGCCGGATGTTATGTAGCATAATTTTGTGGTTAATGGAATTGAAGGCATTGGTTGCGCATGCATCGAGTCATTTAAGGCAGTCGCTCTGATCTGCGTAAAAAATTGAAAATTGACCACTACCGTGCATGCAGCCCGCACACGTTATTGCTACTTTGTAACTGTAGTTGATGTGAAAATAGACTGAATTGTTCAGTATAATTATGACAATGTTATACCATGACAACCGTAATTGTTAGCAGCATGGTATGGAATAGTATGGTATAGTATGGTATAGTATGATATGGTATGGTATGGTATGGTATGGTATAGTATGGTATGGTATGGTATGGTATGGTATGGTATGATATGGTATGGTATGGTATGGTATGGTATGGTATGGTATGGTACGGTATGGTATGGTATGGTATGGTATGGTATGGTATGGTATGGTATGGTATGGTATAGTATGGTATATTATACAAATAATGAATGTTTATGAGTGCAATGGTAAGAATATTTTCGTGAGATGAAAGATGGAATGTTCCATTCAACGAGGCGACAGCCGAGTTGAATGGAACATTCCATCTTTCACCGAATGAAAATATTCTTACCATTGCACGAAAAAACATTCATTTTTCGTTTTATATAATACCAAAATCGACTAATCGATTGGTGATCGCTAGATAGTATACTTCAAAATAAGGTTTCCGTTTTTATAACGTAGAAAAAACTATCCTAACGCAAAACTAAACCCTAACCCTAATATTAACCCTCACCCTAACCCCTAACCTAAACCCTAACCTAACCCTAATTTATTTTAATTATTTTAAACATTGATATAAAAACGGAAACCTTATTTTGAAGTATACTATCTAGCAATTGCCCTAATAGATTCGTATGAGAAGCATTTTGAGGGATGCGATTTATCGAAAACCGACAAAGAGTGCAATAGCTGTTATCGTAATTGAATACGCCGCTGCGGCAAACCAGCGGTATCTCAGTGGAAGTACGCACGAAAACGAGGCTAAAGGGTCAAAAAACACAAAATATGACCCTATAGCCTCGTCTCGATGTTAAAATAATGCAGATACCGCTGATCCGTAGCATAGACGTATTCAATTACGATAACAGCTATTGTACCATACGTTTTATTCCATTGCACTCGCAGAGAGTGCAATGGAACGTATTCCATTCCACTCTTGGGAAATGGAATTTTCTATTCAATATAACGTGACCATAAACAGCCAATTAAACGATCAGAATTAAATAAGGTATTTTATAATATAGCATTTGTAAATTCTGAACGCTGATTGGCTAAGAGCCGTGTTGATATAACTCAATGTCAACACGGAAACGTCGGAAAATTTCTTTCTTTATGTTTCTTTGTGCTATATTATAAAACAAATATAAATCCAGACTCCGTTGTTGCAATGGCATCATATAACCTATACCGTAG